ACGTGCCCGAAAGCCACTCTGACTGCAAGCAGCGGTTGAATATTTCTGTAAGCCGCGGATCCAGTGCATTGGCACCGTTGCTGAGCACTGCAAGAGATACTCTGTTCGATCATGATGCAGCGACATATTTTCTAAGATGAAAGCGGGGGTATTCCGTTGTGTTCCGTCCTGGTTTTGCAGTTCCATCTGGACGCCCTCAGCTCTCTCCACAGTTTACGAGGATGCGTTGCCCGCAAGTTCGCACAGCGACGGATGCTTAGATGACTTCCAATTGGCTGTCATAAGTTCTTTGTGTATACCACTTAGTTTTTTTTCCAGATGTGACTTTTCCTTCCTCCTTCGCAGCCATTGTATGACTTTTGATGAATTGTATCGATTGGAGCAGAAAATTTTTCCTGTGAACTATAGGACTTTATGACAGAGTTTATGTAGGAAGTCAAGGCGTCTATATCACTGCTGATGTCAGGGTCTCATAGAACAGACCAGTCAATCGTATTGAGTTCAAACCGAAATCGCAATATGGCTTCACTAAAGAAGATACATGTCCATCGCAATGAACGCTAGTCGGTAACAATATTCCTCATTCCGTGATTCGGAAGTGCATGAGGCACTGCGTTGATAATGCAATTGTCAACCGACCAAGAGGCCGCTCGTCGTGCATGTGGTATATTTCAGCTTATGTTGTGAGGAAGTGATCCAGTATCGCCTTTCTCCTTGTTGGAAGAGAAACGGGGTCGATGAGGCCGACCTGCCAAAGAAAGCCTGTACCTCTCCCGCGACTACTTTAGACAGTTCCTTCCCGCTCCCACTGATCAAATTGCAGTGTAAAGATATCTACAAACGTCATGAGTGCAGCAGGTCAGTGTAGGGATCGATGTATGCGTTAAGTACACGTGAAACGTGCTTGAAGGGGCAGATTAGTTTAGGACTGCATCGGACAATGAACCATCCAATACTGTTGACAGGAAAGTAAATTCGTCGGAGGGGCTACACACCATTGTTAATGTATCCACTGACTGATGACTCCGCCTTCCATGAATATGAATATTCGTTCGATCATCTCGGAATTTGTTGTAGTGGATAATGGCTGCGAACTTGAACTCAATATCCTTGCTGATAGCCACGATTCTTGACACAAGACAGTTACTGTTGGCTCCAAGCGATTTTTTCCCGTGTAGACTCGTCTAACTTCCCTGCTGACGACCGGCAGTTCATTGACATGAATGTTTAAAGCGCTACAGATCTATAATTCTACTTCTTCAAACCGAACTGCCAACTTCCAAGCATAAATGGTCGCGCGTTATTCCCATTGTCGAAATGACGGACGGATGAGGACAATAATCATGACGGAGGAATGGAGAATCTAAGACATCAAAATGTGAAGTTCAAAGAATTCAACCATTCTGCATTTTCATCACATTCTTTGCTTGTTGATCGCAGTCTTGTCACACCATGTCAAACTCAAATCCATGGGTATCATTTTGTAGTCTGATCTCACCTGGCATGCACATGTTCAGTCTCTGTAACCTTGGTGTTGTAAGGTTTCGTTTTATGTAAAGCGGCTAAGAAGTGTCCATGCATCACATAATGGCATGATAAAATTTGTCTTTGTATGTATTCTCTCGCTACATACATATATGCATCAGCAGTCACCCTTCCAAGCCTGTTAAAATGCGATTTAATGATTCCAAGGAGATCGCTGAAACAGATATCTAGAATAAGCGGCCCTTCACACACTCAGCTACTGAGATATGTGGTTGATTTGGCGCTCACTTATGAAACTTGCATTGGTAAGAACATTCTGGAATATGGCAGTCATATATTGCATGACACTTTCTCGTAACGTGTTTTGCGAACTTCATACAGTAGCTCTAAATATGTTATTGTTTTTCCAGAACAGCTGTGTCGAAGATCTATTATCCCGATTTCATTGCGCATTCTGCGAAGTCGCGTAGACATTAAATGACAATAGTTGAATTTGCTCAATGCGACATAGCTTTCTACCTGTTCGCCTCTATTCTATGTTTCCTTTGCAGCATTGTAGTTCCAGAGTATTTCTTTTTTAGCTCCATGTGCTTCAGTAAATTATGTCCACTGTTTTGTGTATTGTGATATGTGCATATTTCTCATATATTTTCTTATTCTTGCTGAAAAATGGAATTCTTTGGCTATCCCATTCAAGCAGTAAACTAAGCATTTATTCATTTTAATATCTTGTGTGATGATGTTTTCCTTAGAGATTGTCCTTAATCCTTTCTTGTGGGTTTGTTATCTGTATACTTTTCAGCCTAACAAATTTGCTATCAAGATATAAGATAATTTGTCATTCCATTCTTGTTACCGCTTCATCACCGGTGGCGTTGGTTTCCATAGCAAAGCTTTACGTAGCAGAACGAATATACTATAAAAGATTTAGCCTTACCGTAAAATAACTTACTTTAGCCTGAAGTTTTACGCAGTAGATAAATTTATAGAGGGAAATAGACGGATTCTGTAACTTTGCTACAAATCCGGTCGGAAGGATTGGTTACTATGATGTATATTTATTGTCCAATGCAATATTATAAACCATCTTCATTGTAACGTGTATTCCTTGAGTAGGGGATAAAATTTATGAAATGAGGAGATTGTTGGAAACTTTTCTACCACTCATGTTAAAGCATGCTACTGCCAGTACCATGATTCTGTTTTGAAAGATCGACTGAGCACCTCGTTTGGTGTCAGCGATTTTGCATCTTATATGTTTTTTACTGACTAATCCACTGAGTGCCATTTAATGTGCGAATGAGGATGATTCATTATGACTCTGAATTGAGGCGATTTTTGGCAGAATGATGATTGGGTAGGCAGCCTTAATGTTTTTGCTTCAGGATTCGTTATCCGGTGAAAGTGGCGTTTTGTACCATGGCCAAGAATACGAGAAGCACGGCATTCCGGAAGATCGATGTTGATGCTTACAATGAAGATCAGTACAAAGATGAAGACCAAGAGCAAGATGCGACGACAGTGGGTCCAGACGAGGAGGAAGTGACGAAGCTGTTGCAGATGAACCGTAACGTTGAGGCACTGAAGATGGCGTTGAAGAATCCGCCGCTGAAAACGCGGAATCAGGCCCTGAAAGATCGCGCCACGCAACTGGTCGTCCGTGTGTTGTGTTCTTTCAGACAGGCAGATATCGAGAGTGCTGTGCAATCTTTGGATAAGGATCAGATCGACTTGATCATGAAGTACATTTACAAAGGCTTCGAGTTCCCCCAGGACGGCAGTTCATCCGTGCTGCTTGCTTGGCATGACAAGGTGTACCAGGTCGGTGGAAATGGTTGCATCGTCCGGGTGCTGACCGATCGCAGACGGCTATGACCTTTGTCACCATGTGCCTTGAGCATGAAGCGTAATTAGGAAGTTCGTTGCTTAACTCTTTGCGGAATATTCTATTGGGTGATTACTGTAGATCTCAGTCGATGTACCACATTGTGATTATGTTCCTCCAACAGCAATGTAATAATGTTCAGATCTGAAAAGCATTAAATGGCTAAGTTTTTTTTGTTTAGTCTTATTTTGTGGTCATTATAGCCAAGTTTATGGCCATTTTTCCTTAGCTCCCGAAGTTTCATTGTAACATTTGTAATTACAAAACTATTATAAATTTTGATTCTACACCGTGCATTTCCACACTTTTTGCCGCCATTTGCCATTGAATTCTGTCCTGAGTAATGTCCGATATGACTGAAAGCCAATCAGTGTACCGTTTTGGCTCGCAGTTTGCCAGTAGGTGTGGCCCATCTGCGTATCTGACAGTTCGTCTCTGAAACTGTCCAGCTATGAAGTTGTCGGCCTAGATGTGCATCCTTCCAGGATGGGTTCGGCACACTACGAATCAAGATGTTGATCAGCCGCTTGTCGTCCCTTCTCATTGCGTAGCGGAGAAGGGAGAGTTGATATTATTCCCTGCTCGGGAACGCCATTTGTATTCGTTCTAACGTCCTGCAGTAATTGTGCATTCATGATCTTATCATTCAATCTATAACCGAGGATTCCGCGTCAACATGAGCGTTCAAATATATCCAGCGCATTTGCTTTTTTCTTGTTAAGGGTCACGTAGCTGCGGCATGTTTGATTACTGGTGGAATACTTTCGGATGTACTCGGATTTTCACTGACGTTTCGACAGCAATTTTCCAAAGCGTGTTGCATGCAGTTTGATTCTTTTATGATTCTTTCCTGGATATTAGCTTCACAGCCTCAGTCATTAGTGATCATCGATCATAGCAGAACTTGGTATATGTAATCTGACTGTAGTTGTAACCTTCCACTCGCGCTTTCCGTTGCTCACTTGTCAAAGTCTGTGAGTCTTGCTATTATGATCTTCGCTTAGCGTTGTCGCAGTTGTCAGACTGAATCTTTCAGTGGGGTTGAAGAGCATCGATCCATTTTCTGTGATCATTTTTGCCGGCAGGAACTCTTTATCTAATGTGACACTCATTTCATCGCTACAGAATTGTGCGTTGACATCCATTCCATGAATTACAATGTCGTTCGACGTGGCACCAAGTAATTGCTCAAGCCTCTCGCAGAAAGTGTTCTTTCCTTGTTCATCTGTACTGTTCGTGGGCGGTTATAATCCATGTTGTTCTGAACGATTTCCAATTCTTTATCCAGCATAATCTTGGGCTAATTGGCCCCATTATTCTACAACTTCTTTGTAGTTTGAGGGAACTACGACTCTGCAGCCACCTTTTTTTTCGGCCTTCGAATCGAATAGTACATAAGCTGTCTGGCCATCTGGAGAGCACATTTTATGATTTCATCATTCTTTAATCGCGTTTCCTAGAGGCATGCGATCTATGCGTTTAGATTGTTCGAGGTTCTGGTAACATTAGCTTGCCTGTCTTCACCTTTTATGGACTGACGGTTCAAGGTGACAGTATTTAGCTTCTTCTGTAGTCGAAGCAAATTCTGTGGTGGCCCTGAAAAGGGTCTTTTGGTTTGGACAGGTAGACGGCTAGCACTGACAATGTTTGCTCGTCTGGAAATGCAGCGAATAGCTAGTGTCTGGCCACCTACCCTAGACATTTGCTGATATCAGATATTTTGTGTCGTTATTAGATATTTCTGCCAAAATTTGAATTCAAGAGGTACCACGTAGAGGCG